ATGGAAGCCTTAGCGTATTTAGAGGAAGGAACTACCGATAGAGAGAAGAGAAAGGAGAAAGAAAAGCCCTAGCTACTTCGGGAGAAGATTAAGAATAGGAAAAAAAAGGAGTTGATCAGCTGATGACCCTAGCGTATTTGGATTTTGAGAAATTAGGTTTGGGCCTAGTATTTGTTAAGGAGTGGATTAAAACTGGGCTAATTTTTATGGAACTTAAAATTGGGCCTTAGCCTATATAAGTATATATAGTTTAAATAATCCATGTACTAATAATTCAGTTTTTCGGTTAACCGAAAATAATAAATCACTAACCGACGGCCGAACCAAAAAACATAATTTTAAATTTTTTTAATTGAAACCGACTGAAAAAACCGAATAACTGAAATTAAAAAAAAAATCGGTTCGGTCAGTTTTTTCGGTTCGAACTGATATATGCCCACCCTTAATTATTGGGATAGCATGGAAAAAGATACCAAGGAGTTCGTTTAAAGGTGTGATAAATGCCAAAGATTTGCACCGATGATCCATCAAACTGATGAACAACTTCATTCGGTCCTATCCCCGTGGCCATTCATGAAATGGGGGATGTACATCGCCGGCCCCCTACCAACAACGCCAGGTAAAGCTAAATTTATTTTGTTTATGACTGTCTACTTCTCAAAATGGGTAGAAGCACAGGCCTTCGGGATACTTTGTTGTACAATGGAAAATAATTCATCGACAACAAAGTAACAAAGTTCCATGAGGACCATAAAATTAAAAGGATTCTATCAGCTCCATACCACCCAAGTGCAAATGGTCAGGCCGAGTCCACAAACAAAACCATCATTCGAAACTTAAAAAAAAGGTTAGATGATGCAAAGGGGAAATGGAGAAAAGTATTGCTCGAGGTGTTATGGGCATATCAAACGACGTCAAAGTCGAGCTCGGGGGAGACCCCGTTTTCTTTGGTATACGGGTCCGAAGCATTGATCCTGGTCGAAGTCGGGGAACCTAGCGTTAGGTTTCAGCATGCCATAGAGGACTCAAATCACGAAACTATGAACACTTCTCTTGAACTACTAGACGAAAACATGAGGCCGCATTAATTCGGGTGGTCGCGCAAAAACAAAGGATCTAAAGGTATTATAATAGAAGGACGAACCTTCGATATTTCGGAGTCAGGGACTTAGTCCTAAGTAAATTCACCTTTGACACTCGAGACCCAAATGAAGGTAAACTAGGCCCCAATTAGGAAGGACCATACCATGTCATCGGAGTCGTAGGGAAAGGATCCTACAGACTTAGCACAATGGAAGATGAGCAATTACCAAACAATTGGAATGTATCGTTGCTCAAACGCTATTACTGCTGAGGTATGACTTCCTCCCCTTTTTCCATTCATATTTAAATCTAACTCCTTGCAGATGTTCAATTGGAAACATCGAGGCACCTTTCTGCTCGAAGACCTTGGGTTTTAAGGCATGCATTGTACACAATCAACCTAGAACACTGGGGGGGGCATCACCCTCGGAGGATGCATCCTCGAAGAAAGCAATTCATGCCAAGGAGGGCCTTGATAGGGGAATGTTATAATGGGCCAAACAGTGAAATGAACCGTGTCCATGTAGAATAATCGAGCCCCCAACAACAAAACATGTACGCATTATTTGAAAAAGCATTCTTATTATATCAAAACACTTTGTTCCTCCAAGAAGTCCACTATTTTCACATTTAACGGCTCAAAAGCCAAAACCCCGAATGCACCCAAATACTCGGGGACTGTCATCGATAATCGACACATTGAGTCATCGAATACTCGATATTATAAGACCTCAAAGAGGCACCCTCGAATTTATAAGACCACAAAAAGGCACGCTAGAGCTCACAAGACCTCAAAGAAGCATCCCCTCGATATTAAGGCTAAGGCCATCACACTCGGGGACTAAAGGCTACGGCCATATAAAAGACTATGGTCATATGAAAAGGCTACGGCCAAAATAATGCGGCTCGAAGATGTCCGACTTCCATCATAAAACTAAAAGGCCTTCACATATACTTCGAAAAAACTGGTTAAATCAGGCTACCCTCGGCAAAAGCAAATTATAAGGGGCTTCGATAAAATCAACCCTCAACTAATGCAAAGGCTTCGATAACATCAGCCTTCGAAAAATCCTCAAGAGGTATTCGATTAACGTTGCATATCAAATTACAAATGAGGTTCCAATCAGTCGATCCTTCGAAAAAATCGAACGAATATGAACACAAAAAATACATGCTAAGGCATACCAAAATTTTCACTAAGTCTTTAGCCAAAAAGAGGGAAAAATTTATATACCGAATTGGCCCTACCTAAAAAGCCAAAGGGCCAACCCAAAAGAGCCTAAGGGACGATATTTAAAAGCCTAAAGGCCAATGTTTAAGGAGCTTAAAGGACGAAGCACACCATGCTCGAGACCTTACCTAGCTTGAACTCGAAAGTCCTTCACCTCGAGCTGACGTCAAGTTAACTTAAGACTCGGCTCAAAGTTCGAACCTTAAGGGGTAACCTAAGGGTATTATATTCTAAGTCCAATACATTGGACTGATCGTCAACAAAACAAAATCTCATTTCAAAAGTGAAGGCAAGGCACAATTAAACACAAAAACAAAGATGAAGCAAAAATCTTATATATTCAAGAGATGGTCCAAAACACCTTTACAAAACTCCCTCATGAAGCCCTAACATAAAATTAAAAAGGACCTAGTCTATCGTTGGAGTCACTCACTCGGGGCTAGTATCTCCTGAAACTACATCTTCAGTAGTCTGACCTTCGGTAGACTTTTCTCCCTCGGGGACTTCGTCTTCATCCTCCCCACTCTCGAAGTCGCTGACGGAATCCTCATCAGTATATAGCAGTGTGACTGCCTCTTCTTCTAAAGCCTTCACCTTATCAATTTTTGCAGAAAGGACAAAGCCTTTGGCATGCACTTCCTCGAGAGTTTGCCTTCGAGATTCTAGCCGAGCATGAGTGACGGCGCAGGATAAATTAAGCTCAGCTGTAGCAGATATCTCCCTATCTCAAGCATTGGCAGCTGCAGCGTCGGTCGGTAAGAAGACACGAACGCATCAGCTTCGGACTTAAACTTACATAACTCAGCGACCGTCTCAGTGTGAAGCTCATTAAATTTATGGCCCTCCTCCTTTGCACTCCGAAACTGACTCTCGGTCGAGGCTAGCTGTTCCCGAAGGCTATCTTTTTCAGAGGCCAAGTGATCCATATTTTGCTTTCACCCGAGGGTTACAACCTCTTTAGTCTTAAGCTCATCCCAAAGCTGCTCCACTAGGACAACCTTTTTCTGGAACTGCAAGGTGGAAAAGTTCTTAATGAGAGAAGAAAACATGTATATATAGAGGAAGGGGGCAACGGTTCATTAGTATTAATAGTCGACTGGCTCTGACGTGCATTTATTGCTTTTGGGGAAGAGAACCGACGGGACGCTTCGGTCATTTCAACGCTTACGTCATAAGAGTGATGCCATCATAAAGGAATTCGGTAATTTAAAACGTTTCATATCATTTCATTCTAAGAAACGTTGGGACTATCTATATACGGTCGAAATCGGAGAGCTCGATTTCGAGGACTTAACGGAACCTTGGGGCTCAAATTCGGGCAGCACGAAGCAAAGATAAGAGCTGACAGGAAAATGCATACCTCGAGGGAGCAAATCAAAGACCCGGCATGATCTGCCTCGAGGGCAGTACAATTTCGATGACACTTAAGAAAGAGCGAGAATTTCTCAAGGACACGTGGATCAGGGAATAAATTAAGGGATAAGATTTGTACGAAATAGTAGAAGTCCATACTAGGTTGTTATACAACTGTACCAACAGAATTCTTTGCCATAATTGGAAATGTACCATCTTAGGGTTTTCACCTTCTATATAAAGGGGACACCAATCTTTGTAAAAGGGACATTATTCACTACAATAGAACATTCTACTTTGTTTTTCTTGTGCTCCACAATTATTCTTCAGCTTTATTGTTTTAACTTTATTGTTCTTGCTATTTGCTCTTAACTCACCTCGAGGCCCCCGAGATAATCGAACTCGAGGTCCCGTTACTCTAAGTTCTAACAACACTGGTTTGGTTCATCAATCCTTCTTACTTAAACCTAATATTACTTGTATTTCACTAATATTGGAATATATCACATGTCTTTAAAACCACAAATCACCTCTAATTGTTACTCACATTTTTCGAGGTAACCAAGGATACATCGAACACATCTAAGGGGTATGTGCAACAATGACATGATCCTTAATCGCAGAGACTTGAAAACTTTCAAAAATAATAACTATATTTATGTGATTTCTCTAGTTGTGTTTTTCTTTTCTTTTCTTTTTTTGTAAAAAATTTAGGCGAGGGGGTACATACAATGCTTAGCGTTTCCCTTGAGCTAGGAAGAGAAGAAATGCAAATAGCGCGAGTACAGATGGGTTGTTAGAAATTGTGTGAAGGAGGAGTTTTTGGTGTGATTATTGGTTAGGTTAAAGTAGGTGATGCCACAATGAAGTAATGGGAGGAAGAGGAACTTTTCCTATTAAAGAAATTGTATTTTTACAGAATATTTACACCGAATTAATTAATAAATGTAAGATATTATACGTTCTAACAAGAATTTGATATTTACAGATAATTTATTTTTAAACTTTTCATTTTATCTTAAATTACAAGATTTTATAGTCACACAAATATTATGGCATGCTTATGACTGCAACTCTACAAATTAGATGAAAAAGACGTTCTTTCTTTTTTTTTTAAAAAAAACTTTATGGCCAGTCAAACAACTTTAGATAAAATGAAAAGAAGAAAATACTATGTGTTCTTACTTTACTTTCTGCTTGTTTTAAGTTACATAATTTTTGTTTAATGTTCAAACCTACTTTATAAAAAGAAGGCGATTAGTTTCTTATGGATCAAATCTGCTTGGGATTCAAATGTTCCCAAACAAATTAAGCTTAAGAAATGGCTACATTATACCATAAGTACCGTTGGTAACAGAGTACATATTTATGTAACAAGTTTATCAGACATAAGCCCAAAGAAAATAAAAAATGCGAAGAGTAGGGAAGTAATTTGAAAGGGATTAAGAAATTATACAACAAATAGAAGGAAAATAGCAATACTCTAGCAAAATTATTTTTTTATAAATTACGTAGCTGGTATCTAGAACCCGCTAACCCAATTAATCCAGATTTGCGCTTAGGCTCACTAATAGTGTAAAGACACTGTCTACCAAGAAGTTCTCAATTCCCGAGGCTCGAATCGAAGACGTGATTAAGGGCAGAGGGATCCCAACTATCTCACAAATGCCACCATACCACTAGCAAAAATCATTGGTCACGTTAGAAGCCGGAGGAATCTCAAAATGCCAAAGCCTTCCTACACTTGTCACCAAATTTTTTCTACACAAAAATAGCTCTGCGTAAACTTTCTCAACATTACGATCCACATCATGCAAAAATATATGTGTAATCCCAGATCCCTTCCTATTCCTTGCCATAACAGCAGCAGAATAAATAGCTGACATTCTTCCTGGTGCTTTATCAAAATAACCTTTTGGACCATCAATCATAATCATGTCCCATTCTTTATCGTACACTTCATTAGATAACATGTCCAATGCTAATTTACATTTATGGTTACCTCGTAAGAATGATTTCTTAGCTGAACAATCTGGTTCCTTATGGTAATGTTCGATTAATTTCTCGGCCTCCGACAACTTTGTACGATAATTCACGGTGTTGGTACGTAGGAATGGCACGTCTTTTATTACGGCCTTGACCCATTTCGGATCTTCTTCTAGGAATAGCGTGGTGCCACGTGGATTTATAGACGCCCACATAAACGAGTCATGACCTAGCCCGAATACCAGAAAATTACACGGGGTTAGAGATTTGAGAACGTCGAAGGATACCTTGATCTCGTCCAACGTCTGTTGTGGTATCACTCGTGACGTGGCGTAATGTAGGACGGCATCAACTTTTAGTTGTTGGGACATTATATCATCATTCTTTGTTGAGTTCGTGTCCGGGAGGATCCCCGGACCTACTAGTACCGGAGCTCTGCAGAGGATGGAATTATTTGACATTCGAAACAAAATGGAAATAATTAATGCGGTGCAGACTAAACCTACGATTGCTAATTTCAACATGTTCTTGGAATGAGTGTGAACAAGATGGATGTTGGAAAAAAATGGATATGCTGAGGAGAAATTGACTCTCCTCTCTCTCTCTTTATTGGGTGTGTTATTGAAATGTTGAACATAAGAGGAAGGTGAAAATATTTAGGTTTGACACCAATTTTGGGAGACCTCATCTCATATTATGTTTCAATGAAAGTTTTGGAAAGACTATAACTTTATGTTGATTGCCTTTAATTGGATGTATAAATAAACCAAGTGGTTTCCTCATTGAGTAGCTAGTGAATTACACCATGTAAAATGTTCCAAATCTAATGTTTGTGTTATTATAAAGCAAGTTTTGAGGAGCCTTAGCCTCTCAAGCCGTCCAAGTGTCCGTCTTCTATGATAAATAGTTACGAATTTATGATATTGGATTTCAGATAATTAACTTGGAAATATATGTGAAAATGATTTCTTAGGATCAGAAGTCTATTTCATTATTACGGATTTTTTCTTCTTCTTTTGTATAACTATATGTAGTCCTGATTAATCTAGATTCACACTGTGTAATGCCTAATAAATTTTAAAAACGCTTTCTATCAGAAATAATCTCTATTCCCATGACCCAATGGACAATTATCTTTTAACTATCTAAATTATACTACATCAAGTTTCAAGTCCAATTTCTCTTTTAACATACGCTTCGCGAAATCAAAGGAAACTGTAGAAACGACAAAATGTCTTTATCTCCCATATAGGTAGTATTAAGTGCAAGTGTAGTGAGAATTATTTGTGGCTACAGCATGCATGATAAATACGATTTTTTCTAATATTCGTCATGTAATGAGAATTAAACCTTTTTAAAATTAAAAGAAATATAATCGCCTCTTACTTGTAGGCGTGTGTGGCACATGTTACATCTAAGTTTTAATGATGACAATAGTGCAAATCTAATCGTATCTATTTGATTGCAGGCAGAAAGTAGCAAAAAGGGAAGTTCAAAGGCAACGATATCAGAATGGAATCGAGATCAAAGGCAGCATGAGCAATGTTGAATCAAAGGAAGTCAAAGCCATCAAAAAGGAAAAAAAATCAGTCCAGACGTTTTATTCTCAATCAAAGGATAACGAGGTTGTCTCAACAAGGAAACATATCAAGTATAGTTGCTAAGGAAATTTCAAGCCATACTTCAAGGACTAGATTAGAATCAGAAGATTGATCAATCAAATCGAAGCTAAAAATCACTTCCAAAATTTTGGATATGAAAAGGGAATGACGTAAATGAATCCAGCCCATCTCACGTGGAGGATTCGGAGGCACCCTTTGGGTTAAATCTCTTAGAGGATTCTGTGTCTTAATTAAAGATCAATTTGCAATGGCTATTCAATATCTCCTATAAGAAGACGGGCAACTTCGAGAAGAAGACTCATGCAACTACACAAACTATTGTCTAAGCCTTTCTAGTTCTTAGTACAAATACTATATTCTTGAGTCTACAAGTGTCACAAAAGATAGGAAGAGTTAGAACACAACAGAGAGTTGTGCCAACATTACAAAGATCATTGTTGCTGAATATTGTTGACGGTGAATGTACTAAAATAATCACTATTGCAATCCTTTATCAAAGATCTAAGAGAACCCTTGTGACACAAGGGAACTAGAGGTAGGTACCACACAGGTACTGAACCAGTATAAAAACTGTTGTGCCTTCTTTACCGTTTCGTTTGTTTATTTCATTCCTACTGAAATTATTCACTCTACAAAACCTAGTCGACTAAACTCACACTTAGTCAACCAAAATTTTAATTGTCCATAATTCACCCCTCCCCCCACCCCCATGTACTTTCAATTGGTATTAGAGCAAGGCTTACAAACTTTGCTCAAGAGCTAGTGAAGAAAAGATCATGGGATCAAACACAGTTGTTGGAGAACTATTCAAGAAGGAATCTCTCAAGTACGACCTCCATACTTCAACGGGCAACACTTTTCTCACTGGAAAATATGTATGGAAACATACTCTATGTCATATGACATTAAGGTTTGACGCGTGATCAAAAAGGGAAATCTTCCAATTCCGCCAAAGAAAGATGAAAATGGTCAAGTCATAGTATCAACTGATCCACTTGACTTAGGTAACTACACTGATGAATAATCAGTTGTCATAACAGTGAATGCCAAAGCAAAAAATCTGTTGTATAATACTATCAATGGAGAAGAATATGAAAAGATATCAAGTTGTGAAACTGCTAAGTAAATATGGGATAAATTAGAGGTCACATATGAAAGAACCAATAAAGTGAAAGAAACAAGGATCAATCTCCTTGTTCAGAACTGTGAATTATTTTAAATGAAGGATGAAAAATCAGTAGAGAAAATGCTTTCAATGTTCAGCAAAATCCTTAGAGATTTAAAGTCATTTGGTAGACCAATAAAAAGTAGAGAACATGTCAAAAAAATTCTAAGAAGTCTTCCCACGATTTGGCAACCCAAAGTTATTGCTCTAGAATGTCAGGATCTTGACAAGATGTCCTATGATGAACTTAGAGGTGATCTAATTGCCTTCGAAAAAACTCGCTTGGACAGGCAGGTTCAACAGGAAAAGAAGAAAACGGTTGCATTCAAAGCAAGTGTGGCTGAACCAGAAAATGAAGAGGAAGAGGAAGGAAGAGAACATGATGAAAACATAGCTACGCTCTCTCAAGTTGTAACAAGCATGATAAGGAAAAACAAAAACAGCATGAGAGGTAAATCTAACTTCAGAGAAGGAAGGATGAATAATGATAATGATAAAAATGATGGAAGATGCTATGAATGTGGGAAACATGGACACATTCAAGATGAATGCCCCGCTGAAGAAGAAACTCAACAGGAACTTTCAAAAGAAAAAGTCTTTCGGAGCCTGGAGTAATGAAGAGGAATATGACCATGAAGAAATTACAAATATGTGTTTCATGGCCATAGAAGAAGATAGCAATGAGGACTTAGGTGAACTTGGGCTCATGGCAGACGAAGGAATAAATGAGGAAGAAGACTCAGGTGAACTTGATCTTATGGCAGACGAAGGAACTAGTGAGGTACGTCTTCCTACATGTCCTAATTGTTATGAACTTCAAGAATTTGTTGATATTGCTCTTGTAGATATTGAAAGAGTTCTAAATGAACTCAGAAAAATCAAAAGATAAAAGAAAGAATGGGCCTTGAAGTTATATGCTTCATATGAAGTTAATGAACTTCAACTTCAACTGAATGGATTGTGAAAATCCTCCAGTCATAGTTCTGTCAAATCAAATCAGATTGCTCCTATACATCTTTGATTAGGACTAGAAAGCATATTGCATGCTCCTATTGTGGCCAAAATGGTCATAACACTAACGATTGCAAGAATAGAATCAGAGCAGAAAGAGGCTCTGAAAATCTTAATAATCATTCTTGCTTTTATTGCGAAAAACTTGGGCAGACTTCTAACTATTGTAGGTTCAAGGAAAACAGGAGATGGGTCTGGCGACCTAAATCTTCTAATCAAGCTAATACTGAGAAATCTGACCATTCAGGGCCCAAGCAGGCTTGGGTACCTAAAAACAAGTAATCCTTTTTTTCAGGAACACCACAAGAAGAATCAAAAAGGAAAATGGTATCTTGACAGTGCGTGTTCCAGACATATGGCTGATTACAAATAGTTATTCAAAACAGTCACCAAACTAGATGGAGGAATAGTTAACTTTAAAGATAAATCAAAAGGAAACTTAATTGGAGTTAGAAAGGTTCCTCTCAGCTCAACATGTGATGTAGATGAAGTATACCTGATTGATGAACTTCGCTAAAATCTTCTCAATATAAGTCAACTATGTGACAATGACTATGAGGTTTGTTTTAAGAAACATGGTTGGTTTATAGAAGATGAATCAGGTAAAGTTATTCTTTCTGGTAATAGAGACAGGAATGTCTATACTATTAGTATGTAGACAATCTTGGCAATCAAATTTGTCTAGCATCTATGATTGATGATCCATAGGTATGGCATAGAAAGTTTGGCCATGCTATACTATTCAAAAACTATCCAAACACGATCTTGTCATTAGTCTTCCAAAACTAGATTTTTCAAAAGATCATATTTGTGATGCATGTCAATTAGGAAAACAAACTCGTTCATCTTTCAAAAACATTGTCTCTACTTCTAAACCTCTTCAACTCTTGCATATAGATTAATTTGGTCCAACTAGAACTGCTAGCATTGGTGGTAGAAAATATGCTTTTGTCATTGTAGATGATTTGTCTTGTTTCACTTGGGTTATTTTTCTAAGTCATAAAGATGAAGTTCTAAGAAATTTTAAAGTTTTCTGTAAGAAGGTTCAACGTGAGAAAGGATACTACATTTCCACTATCATAAGTGGCCATGGAGGAGAGTTTGAAAGCATGGCATTTGAAAACTTCTGCAATGATTAAGGAATCTCTCATAACTTCTCTTTGCCAAGATCGCGTCAATAGAATGGAACGACTGTTGATACCCAATTGTTTCATGTATTTTTAAATATGCAAAATACCTTCAAAATAGCCTATATATGCATATATAACTATATCCCAAGGTTACATTATTTTTCCTTAACTTTTTTTTTCAAAGATTTTTAAATCAATTCACTGCCCTATTTTATCAAGAAAACCCCAATAATTATCCCCAAAATAATCATTTTGGTGATTCATTTATTGGAGTCTCATGTTTATACTAAAATATAGCTAAAATATATTTTTACATATTTTTTACAAATTTATTTAGTATTTTTAAGGTTAAAATTGCATAATTGCAATATTAGTCATTTTTAGGTTTAAATTTTGTCTCATATTTACAAAATGGGATCTTATATTTTTAAAATGATACTTATATATTATAAACCATTTTAGTGCTTTCAAATTTATTTTCAGAAATTTATTTACTATTTTTATATAAATTAAAGGGGGAAAGGGGGGCTATTTAACTTGTAGCCAAATTTGGCTTTCAGATTTAGCCTAAAATCAAACAGACTCCAACCTAAATTAAACCAGCCCAAATATCCAAGCCCAATCCCTAAATCTACCCGACCCAACTGGATTAAATCTTGGCCGTTGATCAATTTTGATCAACGGCCCAGATTCATTCTTACCAAATTAAACCAAACGACCCCCCCAAACCCCACTCATTCCTCACTCAATTGACTCTTATCTCTCTATCTCTATCTCTGGTTCTCTCTAGAACCTTCCCCCTCCCCCTCCGCTCTGATGAGCTTCACTCACCTTCTCCGGCCATTTTCTTGCCTGAATCCATG